ACAATTCAAAATTTCCTATTTAGCTCAGTTTTTTTCAATTCCAAATACTGCACCTCTGGCGAACCTATTAAGCTCAGTTTCCTTTCAACTCAAAAGGCTGCATCTCTGACGAATCTTTTATTTGGCTCAGTTTCCTTTCAATTCAGAAAACTGCATCTCTGACGAATCAATTTAGCTCAGTTTCTTTTCAAAAGTCTGCATCCCTGACGGATAATTATGCTCAGTTTCCTTTAATTAAAAAAATACTCCATTTCCATTTTGAATAAACAGGCTATTTTCATGCTTTCCTATACGCTGTATTTCAAAACATTTAAATATGCTGACGAATCAGTTTTGTTCAGTTTCCTTTTAATGGCTACATTTCTGACAAATCTATAAAACCCAGTTTTCTTTCAATTCAAAAAGCAATGGATAGTTCATTTCCCAGTGACCATTTGGGCGAAGTCGCGGGTAACAGCTAGTTTATTATATTATGTATGTATTTATCAATTATATAATTAAATTTATATCGTGTATATCTTCCAACAATCTACGTATCACCCTCTCTCACAGGTCACTTCATACTTTGCAATGGTTGCCGTGTATAAAGATCGCTTCTAAGCGATACGGCCGCCAATTGTGTCTTTAAATAATTTGTTTTCTTTTTCTCTCTCATATGTATTTCTGATGTACAATAAAGTATATTTCATTCATTCATTCAGTGCATTTTTACTGTAAATTGTGTAAATATTTTTGACTCATGAAATATAATTATTTATTTAAAAAATAAAAAAAATAAAAATAAAAAAATATTTGATGTTGACAGGTGACAGGTGACAACTGTCGTATATTTTAACCAAATATTTTAATTAAAATATATTTATATTTTATTCCTGAAATTCCGAAAAATAATGTTTTATGTAAATAATATATTTCAATATTAATGAATATGTGATATATTTACAAGTTCGTTTGCCTTAAGTGATGACACGAAATAACGATGGCCGAATACACCAAGAATATATTTTATTTTGCAAAATTAATGCCAGGGAGAACTTTAAAGAAATATTAAATGAGTAAATAGAACAATGTCAAAATAACAAAATCAATGCTCACTACATTTCTACTGATCCCAAGAAAACAACGAATTGAACTTCAGCGTTTTATTGAGATTGTCACCAAAAGAAGCTTTGAAACCATCAACTGTAAGCGGTTATAGTTGTAGGTCACTTTAAGATGCAACGCCTGGTGATTCATCGTACAAAATATTAATATTAGATTGCTTTAAGGCGATAAACAAAGCTCGAGAACTAGGTTTTCCTTTTAATTTTCAAGATATTGATTTATACTAAATTATAGACTTTTGAGTGCTGTAGATATATTTTTACATTTTTAATTTTTTACATTTTCTATGAATATTATCGCTCCAATACATTCACAGCCGGATTTCCTACGATGTCAAAATTGTACCGACGGTAGGCTGTTTAAAGGTAAAAAGGGATTAAATATACACATTAAACGATGCCATAGTAAAAATATTTCGGCTTCACAGCCTACCGTAGAAATTCATGACTCTTCTGATAATATACCTAATGACACAAATTCTTCATTTTTTAAAGAAAACCAAAACCAAGGGAGATACTTGCTAAAGATTATCATTAACTATTCAAAATTGTCTAACAATTGTGAAAAAGTTGGCAAAAATTATTTACATTCGCGTATTCCACTTTCATTTTAGTAAAAAAATAAATAAATCAATTACGTCTCAACTAAAAGAAAATTCTTTTCAAAATTTGAATTACCCGGTTAATACTCATTTCTCTCGACCTTATCCTAAATTTGATTTAAAAAAAAGTAGTTGAATCAAAAGTAATGGACGGCGACTTAAAAAGTGCACCGTATTTTATTCTCAGATGACATCCTCGCTCCTCGTAATGTCGAAACTCTTGAAGGCCTTCGTCAGAAACATCCTTCAGTCAATCCTTCCCAGAATTTACCGCTGCCTCCCAATACTTCTATGCAACCATTACAAGTTTCCGAAAAAGACACTTTAGACGCAATATTGTCATTTTCGAATGGCTCTGCCGGCGGCATTGACGGGATTAGGCCTCAGCATCTCAAAGACCTGTAAGCGTATCTGCCGATGACGCCGGTAGGGTACTTCTTAATGACATAATAAAATTATGTAATTTTATGCTTTCTGGTAATGTCAATCCCAATTTCATTCCCTACTTATATGGGGCAAGATTGTGTGCCTTAAAAAAAAAGGATAACGGTATCCGTCCTATTGCTGTTGGTTCTACATTTCGACGTTTAACTTCAAAATTAGCTTTTAGGCACATAATCTCAAACCTTAAGACAAAATTTCAACCTACTCAACTAGGCTTTGGAACCAAAGGTGGCTGTGAGGCGGCGGAACATTCGGTGCGTACTTTCTTAACTAATTCCAATGTAGATGTTCTGAAGGTTGATCTTAGAAATGCTTTTAACTCAATTGATAGGATAACCCTGCTGAAAGAAGTCCACAATACCCCCGAAATATATCATTACGTTTGGCAATGTTACAGTCAAAATTCAAACTTGTTCTATCAAAACCATATTATTGAGTCTGCTGTCGGTGTTCAGCAGGGTGATCCATTAGGTCCAGCTCTTTACAGTTTGGGAATTCAACCTATTATTTCAGATTTAAAATCCAAGCTGAATGTCTGGTATCTGGACGACGGTACACTGGGAGGTAAAGCAGATGACGTCCTCAATGATCTTACTCATATTTTTCAAAATTTTAAAAATAATGGTCTTGAACCAAATACAAATAAATGTGAAATATTTATTTCTAATAATTTATCTAATTCTAACAGAGATACCTTAATTCAAAATTTCAATCAGATTTCTCCAGGAATAAAAACTGTCAATTCGGAATCGCTTTACCTGCTTGGTGCTCCGTTGTTTTTCGATAGTATTAAACCTGTTTTAAAAACAAAATTTGATCAATTTTTAAATCACTTCGATAAATTATATATTTTAAACCCCCATATTGCCCTTACCATTTTAAAATATTGTCTCCTTGTACCTAAATTTACATACTTGTTACGCTCAAGTCCAATCTGGAAATGTTCGGATATTTTAAAAGATATTGATAGTAATCTTAAAATTGCTTTAGAAAACATTCTAAATTTGAGATTAAATACAATAGCCTGGAATCAAACCACTTTACCTATCAAATTTGGTGGAATTGGTGTAAGAAATATTTCTAGCGTCGCATTGCCTGCTTTCCTTGCATCCGTGCATAGTGTCAATGACCTATGTAACACAATTTTAAATAATAAAGTAGACCTGTGCTTTGCTTCGGAGGCAAAGCAAACATGGCTGACGCTCTGTCCCGGCGAAAATATCCCACTGGAAGTTAACCAACAAAAACAGTGGGATATTCCGTTGGTACGGAGTATCCAGAAAAATTTATTTCAAAATTTCCATATTCAACAAGATCAGGCTCGCCTTCTAGCTGTTTCGACTAAGGAATCTAGCCACTGGTTACATGCTCTACCATCAAGTAATCTCGGCACATTGCTTGATGGGGAAACCTTGCGCATCGCAGTAGGAATCCGGCTAGGAGGGGCTATTTGTCAACCTCACCAGTGCCCCTGTGGTAGCAGCGTCGATGAGTTTGGGCTCCACGGACTTTCATGCAAGAAAATTGCACGTAGGTTTTCCCGTCACGGTTCTTTGAACGAAATCATCCGAAGGGCTCTTGTCTCTATAAATATCCCCTCGGTTTTAGAGCCTAGCGGGATATTTAGAGACGATGGCAAGAGACCCGACGGTATGACTTTGGTCCCTTGGGAGAGAGGTAAAGCCCTAGTGTGGGATGCTACTTGCGTTGACACTTTGGCGTCCTCTCATCTCAAGGGTACCTCTTTTAGAGCCAGGGCGGCGTCAGAGGCAGCCGAATTTAGTAAATGGCGCAAATATGAGTCTTTGAGAAATGACTAAATATTTGTGCCATTTGCTATAGAGACTATCGGTCCGTGGGGTCCACGTGCAATGAAGTTTCTAAAGGAACTGTATCCACGACTGGTCGTCGCTGCTGGTGATAAGAGGGCTGGTTCTTTCCTCGCTCAAAGGCTAAATATAGCTATTCAGCGAGGAAACGCAGCCAGCGTTCTTGGCACTACACCACGGGGAGCAGGTCTTTGTGACGATTTGAATTTTTAGTTTTAGATTTTCTATATTATAGTTTCTTCTTTTATGTTGTATATAATTAGTTTTAATCTTTAATATTATAATTTTAATTATTATTTTAGTTAAGTTCTTTATTATAATTTTTGTAATATAAATTAAAGGTTGTAACACCATTAAATATGTAAAGTGTAAAATAAAAAAGAATAATAATTAAAATGAAAAGATAAATATACTTAAATATCAATAAAATAATATAAATACAAAATTTAAAAAAGGGAAAACAAGAAATTATAAACTCATATGACAAAAATTAATAATCAAACGGATAATATTTATTTAAATAGCATTTATTGGATTATGTATTTAAAACAATATGTTATTAGGGCGCGAGCTCATTACCCAGAGTTCTTTTTTTTATAGGATAGGGTGACAAACGAACACACAGTCCACCTGATGGTAGGTGGTTGCTGCGGCCCATAGACATCTACATCTATCTTCGATTACAAATGAAAATGCAGATGCGTCATCACCCGTGAGGACTAAGAATAAATGCCTCGTTTCCAGTAAAACGGGTCTCCGGTTCTCTACACTCACCATACGAAACATAGCAGCATTAAGCTACTATTTTACGCTAGTATTCTGTGAGAGCGCGGTCCTTCCTCGGTCGAGAGACCCATTCGTGCCACAACTATACTACTAATATAACTGCAGCATGGGTCTATCATGTATAAAAAGAAAGTTTCTTTAAATACACACTTAGAGTTTTACATAAGAGAGCTAAGATCTTTACCGTATACTTAATAGTATACATAAGCATTTGTTTATGTGTACTATATACTTACATTTAAATCTTCAACATCTATGCAAGTAGTGTAGTTGGTCCATGGTTTGCTGGTATTGGGATGGACCAACCATGTGCCATTTTCAGTGCATCTGAAAGTAAGAAAATTATTTAACTTCTTCGAATAAACAGTAAACTAAGAGTATTAGGAAGTGTTTAGTATTTTGTTTAAATAAATATAACGTTGTTATAATTAATTAGTACAAAAGCCTTGCTATGGATAAAATATATAAAATACCTTTTTAAAACATTGCGCCCAGAATCCGACCCAGCGATGAATTCCGGGCAGGCCTGCGCAGCGGTGGTTCCTGCCGGTGTCTCGTCCCAGCACATCCAGCCGTCAAATGTACGGGGACAGTTAACATTCGGATCTAAAAAGAATACAAAATGTATAAAGTAACATAAAATAAAGAGTCACGAAAATGTAATCATCTTATACACCGTTATCCCATCAAAAACATACATTTGAAACAAAAACATTCATAGTTGTCGGCATAGCGGATAACACAGTTGAGACCCGATCGGGCGCCAAGTTCTATAGCAGTAGCTTAAGTCATAGGGTTTAAAGGAATTTACAAATTTCTTGAAACAAAACCATGGAACTTGGCCTTTTTCATATAAAAATTATTGGTAACATACTATTATATTTGAAAAAAAAAGTTTTATTATTTTATTGATCTAAAGAAATACTAACAGTATTGTTGTATAAGTTATTTGACCATTAATATTTGCACACCACTGAGGTAGAATAAGTAGAACGAATTATACTGAAAAACCATTGTACAACCATATTCTTGCAAATAAAGAATATTATTATTATTATTACATGACCCTTAACGTTTGTTTATGAATTAACGCTTCACTGTTTTCAACTTTTAATTCAGACTGTAAGAATTAAATATCGACAAAGAAGGTGAATAATTTGTAGATATCAATTATTGTTCTTCGTATTCACCGAATGATCTTCTTGGTCAGTGAGTAACAAAAATGGCGCTTTTTATACATTAATAACTAAAAACTTTAAGAAGATTTTTTACGACTACATAGATAATAATTTAGGTTTCTAGTTAAAACAAAAATCTTTAATAAATATGTAAATTTACACATATGTATGTGTAAGTTTTTGAGTTATGAGGATATTAGTAACTATTTATTGAAATTGGCTCGAAATAGTTCAATTATAATAAATACATGCACGTACATACAAGTTCATGTATACATACACTGCGTCGCAACGCCCTTTCTTTTTTGAACTTGGATGACATAAGTACTGCCCTGTGTCTAGGCACGCTAGCAACATAAACTCGATTTTTTCAGGTGATGATTTATCAGGTGCACGTGTATGAAAACATCGTGAGAAAATCTACACTTTTTTAATTTTTATTTCGAGGATATGTGATGTAGCCTTCTTATTGCATATTATGCTTACATATACATATTACACACTTATAATTTTTACATTACCACCCCTACTTTATATATATTATTTATATTATAAATCTATTTACAAAATTATGTAATGTCAATATAAAATTACATATTTACTTATATCTACTAATACAATTGCAATCATCAAATAACATAAATTCCATAGTTACAAAATAATCACAATAAAAATATAATATTTAATGAAACATTGTTTACATTAGCCATTTTGTGAATAGGAAACGCGCTAAACAATACCGTTAGAATGAGGATCTCATTCTACGCCGCGCACCGCGCTTGCCAGTCTGCTTACCAGCAGATAACCATGTCGCCTGGCTAACCGTAGTGCGCATTTGTCGTCTTGCGAATATCAAGTTCTTATAATTTACTTTGTACTATCGCTTTCTGCTCCTTCAATTTTATATAGCTATTAACTTTTATATTGTGTCGTGTGGAGCTATAGTGATTAAATGTTAACTTTACTGTTTACGCTTGGATTTAATTAATTTTTGTCAGACTGTGACTGTGTTACTCCGACTTTTTTTTATATAGAATAAGGGTCAAATGATGGCTATACGACTCACCGGATGTTAAGTGACTGCCTCCGCCCATGAAAAACTGCAACACCAGGGGAATTTCAGGTGCGTTGCCTGCCTTATGGAAATGAGTAGTTGAGTAGGGGAGACTGGGGATTGTTAACTAATTTTCAGTATAGACGCTTGTATTTTCATTGTTTTAGTGTACATTATCGTAAAAACCAATACATATGATAGGTAAACTATTCAGCTTTTAAAAAAATTACAAAATTCTTGCCATCAGTTATGATATACAAGCTTCATTTTGTAGAACACGAAATACCAGTCAACCTACCCCATGCCCGGGGTTGGTTAACTATTCACTAGGGGTAAGTTGACCTAGATAAGTATAGGAATAAATTGGATAAAATAATTAAAAAGTATTTGTAATTATCTTTTTTTTGTACCGAAACTAAATTTTAAATGTTGACTATTTAAATAAACATAAAAATGTAATATATATATATATATATATATATATATATATATATATATATATATATATATATATATATATATATGTATTCTCTTCTGTCTGTCTTCTCTTCGCAGCGCCGGTGAATAGAGCCGATCGGAAAGAACTCGTACGTCGACGATTCAAGGCGCACTGCACTAGATGCGGTCAAGTGGAAGGATCTGGCACTGGGGAGCCGGCTCAGAGATGGGAACATTCCATGTGAGGTCGAACCTGCGCTTTGTTCAGATCGGCTTTCTCCTTTGCGGCATGGGTCAGTGAGTCGTCCTCCCTGTACAGAGATGCTGACAGAAATTCCCTTGGACAAACTTGTCCGGAGAGACCAGAATGATTTCAAAAGAAAGGCGAACTGGTTTCTCTCTAATTTTGCCTATGTGCTTCGATTTTGCCTTAGTAATGATTCTTTTGAAGCACCTGGAATCAGAATTATATTTCTTTTTTAGGGCGCTGGTTAAGAATAAGGGTTGTTGATGCCTCAGCCCAGGCTTGGTAGCACTTCTTCTTATAGCATGATGCTATTTTACAGGAGCAACCAAACCATGACTAAGATATGCCTCTGATAGGCACCACAGAGGAAGAAATGAAAAGTTCTGTAACCTTAATTAACACATTAGCGACAGAATCGGGAACAACGTTGGGATCGTCCGGCGAGAAGAAAACCTGACGCCAAGGGTAGGATGCAAAGAAAGACCGCATCCTATCTCAAATAGCCAACCTAAAATGCCAAACATGGCAGCAGCCTGCAGAATGAAACCGCGTTTTCAGTGTGAGTGGCACCAACTCCGGACTTAAAATTGGTCCGAAAAGCAAATCACGAGCGTCGACGGAATCTGTCTGGATATGGATGATATGGATGATGTCTGGACCTGTTGAACCTTCTGCTGACCTCAGCAGAAGGTTCAACAGGGAAGATGCATGATCCTCCACATCTAGATGTTCAATAAGTGCAACGTAATCTGAAAACGCAACTAACAGCCTTTGGAAACTACAACTTCAAGCCCTCGTTATTATCCTCAAGAACCCCCCACCATTCACTCCTGAGAATTGTCTTCTGCAGTCTTCAGTTCCTGCAAGCTAGTCCAACCTGTCTTCATCTCGACTCAACCCGGATTTATAGGGTTCTGGCGGTTGCTCCAGTACATAGTTCTCACCGGCATCACTTGCAAGTGCGTAATACGACATGCATTACACACCGTCCTTCACACCGGCGTCGCTTGCCCTTACTCACGCAGCATGAGTTCCCCACCGGCATTAAGGACGCTTCGGCAATCAGACTACACTATCGAGCTCCAGTATGAATAGGGGGTGATGTGGCAACGTTGTCGTTCCGCTACAAGCAAAACATATCGAAGCCTAAATCGCGCCATCAAAGACCCGAAGTAAAACAGTATATATATTAAATAGCTCCTAACTACCACTTGGAACGTTGACTGCTCCCCAGGCAGAACACCTTGCCCGGTGGGAGATCTCCCTTTTTTCTTCCACGGCCACAGTTGTGACCCCGATAACGATACGAAGATTATTATGAGTGATAGCAATGATTCCGCGAAAACGGTTGAATTGCGCCACGATGCCAACGTCACTAGACGACGGACACACCCAGTGCACTTTTCCATTGAACGTGAAAATAAATATATTAAAGTTCTACCGTTCTAACAACGCTTACTAAAATTATTGATAAGAATAATAAACTGCGTAATATGACAAGAAAGTTTTTCGTATTCCAGAACGTCTTATATATACATAAACACTCACGCCTGTCACCCAGAGGGGTAGGCAGAGACTACAGACTTCCATTTGGCACGATCCTGACACACCTCTCTCGCCTCCTTTACATCCATACACCTACGCATACATGCTCGTCGGTTAAGGGTACTCCTAATTTGGCCCGTTTTCAATAAATCGCCAATTTGGTCGATAAATTTTCGCCTAGGACGTCCCTTTCCGACTCTGCCATTCACTTCTGCAACACAAATTTTCTTTGTCACTCTTTTCTCATTCATTCTTTCCACATGACCAAACCACCGAAGCATTCCTTTCTTAATTCTGGTCACAACATCATCTTGCGAACCACACTCTTCTCTTATTACGCAATTTCTTACCCTGTCGTTCAGATTCCGCCCTAACATACTCCTTACCGACCGCATTTCTACTGCGTTGATTCTACTCTCGTACTTCTTCTGCCACACCCAACTTTCACTACCATACGTTAAAGTAGGGACCAACACAGCATTGTGAATTGCCATACGTGCCTTTTTTGACACATTTTGACTCTTCACAATAGAGTGCAGGGCCCCATTTACTCTATTTCCCGCATTCACTCGTCGTTCTATATCCTTATCATATCTCCCATCCCTGCTAAATACGCAGCCCAAATATACAAACTCATCTACTTGCTCGATCAACTCCCCTTCTATTCTTATTTCACAAATCGTTTTACTTTCTTCTCTTTCAAAAACCATAACCTTCGTCTTACTAGCGTTTACTTTCATACCTCTTTCTTTTAATGATCTGTTCATTAATGTAACCATCATTTGCAACTCGGCCGCCGACGACGCAAGGATAACTTGATCATCGGCGTACAAAAGGCATTTGACGGTTAACTCACCCATTCTTAAACTGCATTCTTCAACTTTCAAATTTTGCAAACATCTGTCCATAAATAGGTTGAACAGCCACGGGGAAGCCACACAGCCCTATCTGACCCCTTTATGGATGTCAAACCAGTCCGAGTAGACCCCGTTGATCCTAACACAAGCACTAGAGTCCCTATAAAGAGACTCCAATGCCTGTATCAAGCCAGCGCTCAACCCAAATGAGTTTAGTGTTTACCATAGCACATCCCTATCCACTCTGTCATAGGCTTTTTTCAAGTCCATGAACGCACAAAAAACCTTTTGGTTTTTGGTTAAAAACTTCTCCGCGATCATGCGCATGGAAAAGACTTGATCTGTACATCCCATTCCCTTTCTAAATCCCGCTTATATCGTTTGTTAAACAAGTTTCTTTTCCATCAGGTAGACTGGGGATATAATGGGTGTCGCAAAATCTTCCTGATCACAACTCAAAATAATAAAAAATACGCTTGCCAATCTGCCTGCCAAGTTTGGCAACTGGCAAGTATCTCCCATATGATGCAATCTATATATTGGCTTATATTCCTCAGTAGGCATTTGATAATCTGTGATCAATGAACATTCATAAAATTTAGTAGTATTTAAATTCTTGGAACAGCCATTAGAATATAACTATTTTGAATATCTGTATTTCTGTACGTTGGAAAATGTAAACGAAGCCTTCATACTGTTGTGGACTATTACATAGTTGTGGTATATTCAATTTTGAAAAAAGTTAAAAAAACCTGGTTAAAAAATTTTGGAGCGAAGTCATAATAAGTGGAATTTGATATTGAAATTAGCGGGAAGCTCCAGGAATCGCCTGCAAGTTCAACCGATTTTTTTATAGAATAAGGGTGACAAACGAGCATACTGTGCACCTGATGATAAGTGGATGCTATGGCCCTTTTACATTTTCATTTATCCTCTATTACGGTTCATAATGGAAATGCGTTGTCACCCGTGAGGACTAAGATGGAATGCCTCGTTTCCAGTAAAAACGGTCTCCGATTCTCTACACTCACGATATGAAACAGCAGCATTAGTTGGTGTTCCGTAAGAACGTGGCCTACCCCGGTCGAGCCGAAACATCCGTACTATAACACGTATGTTATAGCCCCTACCACCAGAATATAGCTGCAGCGTGGCTCTACCACGTTAAAATTAACACTTAAAATTAACATATTATACATTTAACATTATAAATACAAATATATTTTATTTGTCAAGTATAAATATATGGTATTTATTTTGTAAATATACTATATTAATTATATATATATATATATATATATATATATATATATATATATATATATATATATATATATATATATATATTATCAGACATATCTCACAAACTATTGTGTTCAACGATTCTAAAGTACATTATCATGTTATAATTATATATAATGGCCTACTAATGTAATTTTGCGTACTTAGTAACAGCTTATTGAATATCTAAAATATCCTGAAAAAATCTTTAAGTTAAAGTATTATAATACATAAAATATTATTAGAGATTATGAGTATTTGAGGTGAAGTGCAAGGGCGAAGGGGCGAATTCCCGCAGCGCCGAAGCTGTTGCAGAAGTAACTTCGGGTCAATATTTCTATTTAAAAAGTGAGGTTACAATAATACAAAAAAAATTAATACTCATAAACTATTCATTTCCGCAAGGGGAAAGCTGGGGGGGGGGCTTCTCCTGTACCTCACCTCCATATTAATATCAAAATTACATAAACATGAGTCACTCATTGCAGCTTATATAACTATTATGCTTTACCAAAGTAATTACAGCCATCCAGAATGTCGAAAATTGCCGATTGGTTTAATAATGTTTGCTAGCCATGGTTTGCTGACTAATTATCTATTTCTGCTGCTAGATTACATTTCAATGCTGACAAAAACATGAATAGTTCGAGTATGCTAACCCTTTGAATAGCGCCGTGTATTATTAATCAGACAGATGTATAGCCAATTTTAGATCGAACCGCTCATGCTGAAAGAGTATCAATTATTTATTGTCTTATTTTTAGCGTAATAGTTTTAAATAGATAATTATCGTTATGTTCAAAATTAATTTGTAACAATAAATTAATATAAAGTATAAAATTATATTTTTTTACAATTAATTTTGTTTTCGATTTTCAATAATTATTTATTATGTATTATTGCTTAATATGTTGTTAAAGGGAATCTCAGACATGCAGGTTTCCTCACGATGTTTTCCGCAGTACATGTGGTAAATCAGCGCTTAAATTTGCAATTAACACTTTCATTGGTGCCGGTGGCGATCGAACCCGGGTTGTTGGCGTTCTACGAACTTTACAGTAAGCACTTAGGCCCGGAGTTACTACATATATGTATATTTATATATTTGTTATATGTGCTTACCCGTAACATTGCTTGTTGAATTTGGTAATATGGTGCTGTAGGTGACATTGACATCAAAGAAGCACTTCTTTTGTAAAGAAATTAAATACTGGTTATTCTGATCGTTTCTTAAGTCTTCCTGGTTAATTAAATGTTCCATTGTCAGTTTCGTTTTTATAAATTTACAGTTTTTTTTGTGTAAGTTAATCGAAGAAAATCGAGAGACGTATTCAATATGGCAGCACCTGGAAGTAAACAGATAAATGTATGCAAATGGTTAGGCATTGCGGAGTGATTTATCGGTTTGGAATCACATCCGTTTCATAGTGTGGTTTGTGTGTGTGTGTGTGTGTGTGTGTGTGTGTGTGTGTGTGTGTGTGTGTGTGTGTGTGTGTGTGTGTTTGTGTGTGTGTGTGTGTGTTTTTGTATTTTAGTTTAATTAGTTGCTGTAAAACACAAAAAATTTTTAATTGTCCATAACCAATTTAATTCGATAATCTAAATTAAATGTAAATTACATTCTTATATTATAATAAATTTACTTGACTGTTTATATCAATTACTATTTTTAACAATAGTATTTATTACTAAAATAATTAGCTTCTTCGATTACTGTAGCCCTGAGCTATCACATTTTTAAACTGAAGTTACAAATAATGTTGTAATACACCTGATGGTAAGTTTCAACTAATTTCACATGCCTGAAATTCTACTGGCTTCTCTATACATTTACTAGAGTCTCTAAGAGAGGATTATAGCCGTGCACGCGCTTGTTGCCGGCAGAGATACGTTAGAGGAAAACGTAAAAGAAGTCATATTGATTCTTAAAGAAAGGAATTCCTATCTTCTAGTGGATAATAATATGTCGAATCCCTTAATGCCTTGTCAGTGCATGTTGCTATTTAGAAGAGTTCGCCTTACCGCTACGACGCTTCTACGACCTACCTTCTTAGTATTTTGTTCGTTAACATATAGTTAACGAACAACATACTGTTTATTGTTAATTTTGTATAAACGTTATATAATGTTTCATGAATTGATATTAAACCTGGGTAGATGAGGAGCTGGATGCTCATTTTAAATTTGATGATATGACCTCTCATACAGGCATAATTGTAATCGGGCTTCTTTCAAATTTATCTCCAATTAGACATGTTTTTGAAATCGAATATTAGTTACGGCTTGTTAATATAATACTATTAAGACTTAGAATATTCAGGCAGTGTTCTTTGTAAGCATGAACAGAGTTGACCTATTACATGATATCAACAGTGTAAATAAAACAAAAACAATATAAAAATTACAAAGTTACATACTATATACATCCCACTACTGGGTATAAGGCCTCCTTTCGTTTCTGAGAGAGTTAAATGGCAATAAGTCCGCTGTACTGCTCAAGCGCGTGATCGTCGCCTTCACATGTTAATGAAATATGTCCAATAAAAAAACGTCTCACGAACACACAGATTTAAATATATTCTTTTTGAGATAAAACCAAACACTGTATATTGTAAATAAGCGAGGCCCTGGCTTGGTTTGTATGGGGTCATGTAAAGTGACGTCATTTAGATTTAAAAATCATCAATCATTAATAAAGTTAAAGTTACAGCCTATATAAATCCAAGTGCTGGGCACAGGCCACCGTTCATTTCTGAGAGTGTTTTAGGGTAAGGAAATGTGCATCGCGCTGCGCTGCCCCAATGCGTGTTGGCGAAGGTGATTTTTCACGATGTTTTCCTGCACGTTACCTTAGTGGTAAATGGCACGTGGTAAATCGGCACTTAAAATTGCAATTAACAATTTCATTGGTGCTGGCGGGGATCGAACCTGGGTTGCTTGCGTATCGTGGAATGTACAGTGAGCGATTAGCCCCTGAGCTACCAGGTAGTACCATTGTCAATGACTATTTATTATATCAAATTTTGATTCAAGTCAACGATTTCGTTTTGTTCTTACGTTGAAATTGATGTTGGATATTTGATTGACTAAGGATTCATACCATTTTAGCAGTGAGATAAAAGTGCTACGTCTTAATGACAATGAAACTATGGTCACTTTTGATGTTCAGTCTCTATTTACATGCCTTCCTGTTGAAGACTGCATCTCAATTATAACTAGGAAACTAGAGGAAAATAACATGCCAGCAAAATATGCAGTACTACTCAGACATTGCCTTACATCTGGTTATCTATTGTGGAAGGAGAATGTTACAAGCAAGTAGATGGTGTTGATTTGGGCTCAACTGTATCTCCCACTGTCACCGATATATTCATGGAAGACTTTGACTTTACTGTACCTGTTACACCAAGGATCCACAAGCGGTACGTAGACGATACTTTCACAATTTTACTATCAGACAAAGTAACTGCATTTTTAGAACATCTTAATTCCATAAACTCTAAAATTCAATTTAATATGGAGTTAGAGACAAATTATTTCTTAGCTTTCCTAGATGTGTTAGTCATGCGAAATCCTGACAACACCATAGGTCACACTGTGTATAAAAAAAGACCCATACAAACCAATATTTAAACGGTAAATTTCACCAACATACTTCTCAGTTAGTTACCGTGGGTAAATCTTTGTTACAGAACACGAGGGATCCGTCACAGCAAACACCTGGCCGCCGTGCTTCAGCACGTGAAGCAGGTTCTGTACGACAACAAGATTCGGGTCCCGCGCCTACGTCAAAGTGACCGAGTAAAGCCGGACAGTCGAGCGTGTGCCTGCTGTACTACCATATGTCAGAGATGTCATAGACAAGATTGGCTACATCTTGAAGTGAGCTTCTGTTAGTACATCCTACAATCCGCCGAAGAAGATTAGTCAGTTCTTACCATCCGTTAAGTCTCATATTCCTCTACAAGATTCAGGAGTGTACAAGCTTGATTGTGGATGTAGACCACATTCTTATATAGGGCAAACAAAACGATCAATTGGAACCCGCATAAAAGGACATATAGCTAATGTGAAGCATCAACGTTCCGGGAAGTCTGCAGTTTGTAATCATATCCTAGGCGGCCCCAACCATTACATCAGATTTGATAGACCACAAATCCTCGCGAAAGAACATCGATTCCTACCAAGGATGACACCTGAGGCTATTGAAATTAAAAAACATCCTAATTTCAATAGAGAAAGAGGCTGGATACTACCACCTGCTTGGGCCCTTTACTATAATCAATGGACTCTATAATTAATAAAATTAAAACTAAACCCAAGCATACCACTGCAAGACTTCAAGACACAATCAGTTCATTTTGCATAGATCTGACCATAAACAATAATTAAAAAGCTGAAGGTACTCCGGATTTAACAATGACATCGGGACGTCAGTCATCTCAGTCCCCCTTGACCATGGGTGCTGGAAAGCACCCTAAACGTCGGGAATTAAAAATAATTCAAACTAAATGCGAGTGTATTGTAGTGTTAGTTTTAATCAACGTGTAGTGTTCGCGTAAATATAAGATATCATTATATCAATTTTTCACAAAAAACTTTCCAACTTCTTACGATAAAACTTAAAATACTTCTGACGTTGTTCCTTGTCCGTTGTTGAAGCTTCATAACAATCCGTTCAGACATTCCAAAGATAACAGGCAGACAGACAGACAAAAACTTTACAATGGTTATTTATGTCTTAATGGCATACACATTAAAGGGGGTAAAAATCATAGAATACTACAATACACAATAGAATGGCTATCAACCTTATTTTGTACGAGGAGAGGCGTCACTGGGAGCACACACATAAGCAATTACGTCGTATTATCAGTACTACAAACCCGATTCGCTGTGTTGGTAGACAGATTTTAATACATATTTATTTGTAAATAGCGTGCAATTTGACATTTTCTAAATAATTTGCATGCGAAATATGGAAATGATTGTAACGTCAAAACACATATAATGTTAAGATTTATACGTGTAAATTGACGTATTAGTGACATTTTAGTGGCTACACGGGCTCCGCTCACTCCCCGTTCTATTAAGTATGTAATTATAGTATTCTATGATAAAAATCGCAGTCGGAGCTCAATAAAAGGTAGTTATATATCTCTTTGAAATAAGTTATATTTCAAAGAGATACGAGTACTTCAATTATATTTGTGTGTATTTTAATCTTGTACCTCGATTTAGATTTGAAAAAGCATAAGTTACAGAAAGCTAAAATTTATATTAAATGTATGTGTTAAATACACTAAATTAAATGAAATAAAATATACATTGTTTACGTTTATGCTGTCAATGTCAAATACTCTTTTGTCGCTTGGATAACAATATTGATTCTTCGACTAAAATGCAGGTACATTAAAATGCAGGTGTGTTTTTTTTATTTATTATAAAACTTTATTACGTCACTTTAGGAAAAAGAGGATACAAAGGGCCGACTTAATGCCAAAAGGCATTTTCTACCAGTCAATCCATGGAGATGTGAGTTTGTCGTAGGTGTAGCAATTCAAAGAAAAGGAAAAAAAGATAAACTAAAATTAATGAACACATAAAATTAATAAACACATTATATGTAACCAAATTGATTACGATATAGGTAATTTTATACTATCGCGGTCTCTTCATTTTTTGGCTCAAGAAAATCGAAAAATCATTCGATTTCGATGAATTTTTTTTTAAATCTTTTTTAAAAGTTGTTATGGCGGATTTACGAAAACAATTAGAGGAATAAAATAAATTAAAACTTATATTGGTTTCCAGGCTTTGTATTTTCATGAAAATGCACTCATTCACGTATAATTTTTGATAACTTTTTAACAAATAATCGAATGAAGTTGTTATATTTTTTCATGATCTACACAAACAAACAAACATTTAAATAAAACATTGAAAAATGTTTGTTTATTAATTTTTTACCTGACTCTCTCCCGTAGCGCAGTCGAATGAATCACGCTTGAAGGAGTGATTTATTCGCTCGCTACACTCGCTCACACTACCCCGCCATCTCCTTCTAGCCTAACTTGTCCGAACTTGTGTAACGAGTCGGGATGCCCAAAGTCCCGAGCTTGCTTCGTTCGATCTTACACTCAATAAAATACCAAAATATTAACTTTTATAATTATTTCGATTTTCTAGAGCGTTTATGATAAGATTTAAAGGCAGAAAACCATATAATTTTTTCTAAGTGGGATAAAAAATTAATAAACA